GAGACAGAGTCTCACTTTGTTGCCCTGGCTAGAGTGGAGTGCCATGGCATCAGCCTACTCACAGCAACTCAAACTCCTGGCTCAAGCGATCCTCCTGCCTCAGCCTCCCAAGTACTGGGACTACAGGCATGTGCCACATGCCGGATAATTTTTTGCATATATATATTTTTTAGTTGTCAATTAATTTCTTTCCTATTTTAGTAGAAGACGGGGTCCTCGCTCAGGATGGTTTCGAACTCCAACCTCGAGCAATCCCGCCCGCCTCGCCTCCAGAGTGCTAGGATTACAGGCGTGAGCCACCGCGCCCGGCAAGTCTTTTTAAACATATAGGTTCCTCCCTCCTTTTCTCTTGCAATTTATTTGGTGAAAAAACTAGGTTTTTGTCCTGTAGTGTTTACCACAATCAGGATTTTGCTGATTACATCCCTTGGTACCATTTAACAGGTTCCTCTTTCCTACATCTTTTCTGTAAACTGGTGGCTGGATCTACAGGCTTGATTCATTTTAGCATGATTACTTCTTAGGTGATGTTGTACAATGACTTCTTTAAACATCAAATGCAATGGTCTTTTTCCATCTTCTCTGCCTGGATCTCACTGCAGCACTTGGTACTGTTAAGCTTGACACAGGACATGTCTTTCTTTGTGATATTCTCTCCTCACTCGTTATTTCTTGGATGAGATGAAGAGGCGGAATCAAGGACTGTCAGGAGCTACATTATGAACTGGATGGAACACATTCATGATAGAAAAATAAATCAAAATATGTTAAAATATGGTTGACTCTACGGGGCAATGGTGGCACATGCCTTGTAGTCCCAGCTACTCGGGAGCTGAGGCAGAAAGATCACTCACCAGGAAGTTTCGAGGTTGCTGTGAGCTTAGGCTGCCACGGCACTCATTCTAGCCTGGTCAACAAGCGCGACTCTGTCCTCAAAAAAAAAAAAAAATTAGCAAAGTAACAATTTAACAGGAGAAAAAAATTTAGGCCGGGCGCTGTGGCTCACGCCTGTAATCCTAGCTCTTGGAGGCCGAGGCGGCGATTGCTCAAGGTCAGGAGTTCAAACCAGCCTGAGCAACGAGCGAACCCCGTCTCTACTATAAAAGAAGAAATTAATTGGCCAACTGATATATATATAAATTAGCCGGGCATGGTGGCGCATGCTGTATCCCAGCTACTAGGGAGGCAGGGCAGAAGGATCACTGGAGCCCAGGAGTTTGAGGTTCGCTGTGAGCTAGGCTGACGCCACGGCACTCACTCTAGCCTGGAAACAAAGGCAGACTCTGTCTCAAAAAAAAAAAAAAAAATAATGTTGATCCTAACCCATCAGCCACACATCATCAGGCCATTGGTGGAGTTCCTAAAGCCTAATTGCTGCCAGAAAGAAAGAAAACATTTCTATGGTTGTGGCTGTAGGGAAATAGGCCTGAGATATAATTTTTCCATTCTGTAAGCTCTCTCCTACACTATAATCACTATTGCACTTAGTCCAGAAGGAACTCCTGCTGCAGTAAAAAGAATCCTGGAATCTCAGGAGCATAACCATTACAGCTTTGTTTCTTCTCTGTAAAGTCCCTGTGGATCTAGTAGCTTCTCCAAGCAGCCTCAGGATCCTTCTACTTTATTTGTGACTTTTCATTACAATGACTTCTTTAAACATCAAATGCAATGGTCTTTTTCCATCTTCTCTGCCTGGATCTCACTGCAGCACTTGGTACTGTTAAGCTTGACACAGGACATGTCTTTCTTTGTGATATTCTCTCCTCACTCGTTATTTCTTGGATGAGATGAAGAGGCAGAATCAAGGACTGTCAGGAGCTACCATTATGAACTGGAATGGAACACATTCATGATAGAAAAAATAAATCAAAATATGTTTAAATAATGGTTGACTCTAACCCATCAGCCACAATCATCAGGCCATTGGTGGAGTTCCCTAAAGGCCTAATTGCTGCCAGAGAAGAAAGAACAACATGTTGTCTATGGTTGTAGGCTGTAGGGAAATAGGCCTGAGAATATAATTTTTCCATTGTGTAGCTCTTCCTACAGTATAGCATATTGCATTAGTCAGAATAGGATACACTCTGCTGCAGTAACAAAGAATCCCTGGAATCTCAGCAGCTTAACCATTACAGTTTGTTTCTTTCTCTTGTAAAGTCCACTGTGGATCTAGTAGCTCTCCAGGGCAGCTCCCCTCCAAGGATCCCTCCTACTTTTATCTTGTGACTTTTCCATCTCATCCTGTGGCTTCTAAGGTTGTCATAGCAGGGGAAAGAGAAAGTGCTGGAAGGTCACCACACATCAGCTCCTTAAATGCCTCTTCTTGAAAGTGGGACATATCATCTCTTCTCATAGTCCGTTGGTCAGAACATGGCTCTCCCTAAGTGCATTGGGGCACAGAAATGTGGGGCAGAATAAGTTATTTGGTGAACAGTTTGCTCCTCTGTATGGTTATTTATTTTTTTTTTTTCTTGAGTCAGGGTCTCACTCTGTACCCAGGATGGAGTGCAGTGGCACAATTATTGCTCACAGCAGCCTCCAACTCCTGGGCTCAAGTGATCCTCTGGCCTCAGCCTCCCAAGTAGCAGCTAGGACTACAGTGTGGACCACCATGCCCAGCTATTTTTTAAAAAAATTTTTGGAGGCCGG